TGAGAACATCAGCCCAGCTGATGTTGGTGGAATGGAAGAAACTAGGATGAGAGCCTCAACACTGCTCTCCAAGGTTAGTGTGCTTCCACTGTCTGAAAGCTCAGGAGAGAATGTGCATCAAGAGGACAACATTGTTTGCTTCTCAGCATCTCTGATTTGGAGAGGTGTCAGTCTGCTAGTGTGACTGTCTTCAGTGCTGGGCCTTTCCACCACCACCTGCTGCTGGGATGAGCCTTCTTTCCAGAGCTGTCTCCGTGATCTTAGATTCAGAAAAGTTGTTAGGAAGGTGTTTACGAGAGTGAAGAGAAGTATATCATTCAACATTAATTAAAGACGGTTTATTCTAGAGGTGAAGTGATGCTCATCAAAGCCTGGGCCTGAAGGACTGGAGGAGGTGCTGATTAAAACTTAAATGACCTCAGGCAAGAGAGACAAGATTCACTCTTCTGTATAAGCAGCTTAGAAGAATGGATTCCTCTGGCATCCTCTGGCCTTCTAGCCTGCGACAGGGAGGGGTCATTCCACATTTGTGAGATTGGCTTGCCAAGCCATGAACAGCAGCCTTGATACTGCTTGTTGACAATGGTTGTGCTCTTTTCTAGGTGTTCCTACAGCATCTCTCCCCACTGCTCTCACTGACCACTTTTGCTGCTTTGTGGCTGACAATCCTTGACTTCATGGACAAATACATGCATGCTGGCTCCAGTGACTTACTGGTAAGGTGCTGAAAGTGCTGCAGAGCTTTGAACAATCATTCATGAATTTTAACCCCTTATGCTTTGTTTGCTGTTGTTTTTTTTTAATTTAACTCTCGCAAACCCATTCGTTCCACAGTGTGTCCCTTTAGCCTCTGTTTCCAATGCAGCCCATCAGCTTTTTTTGAGCCTTCGTTCATTGCTGTGTGTCCCATCTCTCTGTGCTGAGGAGTGTTTCTGATTACAGCTGGAGGCCATCCCAGAGTCTCTGAAGAATATGCTGCTTGTAATGGACACGGCTGGGATATTCCACAGTGCAGACTCGCGGACAGGATACTCTGATCTTTGGGAGATCACCTGGGAGCGGATTGACTGCTTCTTACCTAGGCTGCGAGATGAGCTCTTCAAACAAACAGTCATCCAAGGTACAAGGGAATGAGAAGCATTTTAAAAAATGGGTTTTGGGCCTAGCGCTTGCACCTTGCTGTACCCAGCTGCCATAGTGCCTGGATGTTACTGATGATGCATTCAGGAGGATATGAGAACTTGGCATCAGGACGGCAAACTGAGGGTGGGCAAAAGGAGAGAGTAAACTGGTGTAGTGTCTCACTGTTTGTGTTCCTAGATCCTGTCCCCAGCATACCAATGGAGCAGCATCCTCAGAAGTCAATAGCATCTGCCCTGCCCCCTTCTCCTATGGGGGATGTGAGACCAGCCACCCACTCAGCCCCATCGGAGAAGCCTTCTGAACTGAGTGCTAGTGGTAAGTCCCATTTTCTTCTTTCTGGAAGCATCTTCCCAGAATGTGGAAAGCACAGATCTGCTTTTCCTTGCTTTGACCAGCTGTTCTGTGTTGTGGAGCCCATTCTGCTTCCAAATGGTTTGGTTATGGCTGCCTTGCTGAGATTTTTGTGGATAGAGGCAAAGGCAGAATGCTGTGTTTGACACCTGCTCCTCAAGGCCCCTTATGAAGGCATCTAGAAGGGGAAAGTCTGGGGAAAAAGGTCTGAAAAGGTCCCTGAAGCTGATCCTTAGTCTAAATTAAGGCTGAAATTGACTTTGTCCAGGCCTATATAAGAATGTATTTTTCTCTTCTTTCTTCCAGAGTCTGAGAGAGCTTCTGCACCTCCATCTCCCACTGTCAGCAGCTCTTCCTCTCCTTCTTTCACAGCATCAGCGCCAACAAAGACAAGCCCCGTTACAGACATACCTCCTACAACAGCACAACCACCACTTATCCTGCAGCCTCTTGCCTCTCCCCTGCAGGTTGGGGTCCCGCCTATGACTCTTCCAATCATCCTCAACCCAGCTCTAATAGAAGCCACCTCTCCTGTTCCCCTCTTAGCTACTCCACGGCCCACTGACCCCATGACAACCTCTGAAGTCAATTAGCTTGAAGGTATCTGAGAACTGTCTGCTGAGGAGGCTCTGGCAGAGGATGCTGGCCAAATGTTCTCTGATAGCAAGCATGTTTGATTTAGAAGATGATGCTAACCTGCACAGAAGGCAGCTGCAGCAAACCCCCAGAGCATATCACATTTGTTCCTTACTAGCGGCAACTGCCAAGAAATTCCTGACTGCTCCCTTCTTGGTATCCAGTTCCACTGACCAATCTCCTTCCTGCCTTCACGATCTCAGGGACCAGGCAACACCCACACCCAGCAGCCTGGGACCAAGCTGCCAATGTGTCATCTGGTGAAAAGGGAAAACGCATTGATTTAACACTGGAGAGGGACAACAGTATAGGACTGCCTCTCAGATTGTTCAGTTCAATCCCTGGACAATTCCCCAGCTGTTTCCTGGCTTTCCTGCTCCTGCTTCTGGCCGCACTGCTTTATTTGGGCTGTGGGTATGCCTGGGCTCAGCAGGTTGAAAATTTTGCGTAGAGGATTGCTCACAGTGTAGTTTCCAGCTTGCTATGCAGGGCTTCTTGTATGCTGTAGCCATATGCTTTCCTTCTGCAACTTGGATTGCAATAATTCCCTGACCAGTTAGGGAGCGGGGGAGCCTGGTAGGCACAGTGCTGCCTTCCTCCTCTCCTCCTACGTAAAGACCATCTGGTGGGCAGAGCAAATTCAGGAGCCTCTACCTAGTTAATCAGATTAGGAGGAAATGCAGAGCCCTGTAATGTCAGAGCAGAGCACCATGGCCATCTCTCCAGCAGCACTTGGGGAGCTACTCCCCTTGGGTTGCACAGCAGTGCTGCATTGTCCACCACTTGCTTCGTTGGCCCAGAGTTGTCCCCTCCTCTTCACTCAGAGAAGATGCTGAGATCAGTGGCACCTGCTGGCAGATGCCCAGCAAGTCTGCTGTGCTGAGGAGCAGCTTTCTTTTGGCAGCTCCTGCGAAGATTGCACCTTTATGCATTTTCTGGTTGTTGGGAGCCCACCTCCTTTTCTACCCAGGGTCTCCTGCAGCTGATAGTCATCATTCCTGTGCTTCTGTCTTGCAGCAAGGATGTCCTGCTTTTCCATCCTCTCATGTCCAGAGCAGAGCTGGCTGGCTGCCTGGCAAGCACTGCATCTCAGTTCTTCCTCCTCTCTGAATTAGTTGGCTAAATTCTCAGTAATACCAATCTCAGAAATCCCACTGGTGACTGGGAGGGACACAGGCGTCAACTCCAACCCAGTGTATGCTGTACTGAGAGAAACCCAAGGTTGGGGTGGGAGTACAGCCAGTGTACATATGGGGTAAATGGCTTACAAATCCAATGGACTTTTTACAGTGTAATAAATACATCCTGTAAATGAGTGCTCTAGTGTTGCAAACCTTTTCTGTTGTAATTTTTTGGCCCAGAGCTTTGAGAAGAGTGGAGTTGAATTATCAAGGGTGCTGCACCTTTCCACCAACCCAGTGGCTCGACACTCTCTAACAAAGCGAGGGGGAGCATGGATGAACTTGTTCTAACAGCTGGTTGGTTCCTCTGCAGGCTGCAGTGAAGACAAGCCATGCAGAGGCTAAGTAGAAAAGGTTCCAGCATAGTTAAAAAGGAGCTGTAAGATTAGTGCTGCACAGCCAGGACTGAAGGAAGAAGGCAAGGGCTGAAGAGCAGGTGCCCTGCAGCATCTCGGCATACAGCCCCCTCTGTGACGTGTCTGCCTGCCCTTCTATCTGTTGCGGAAGAGCTCCTCATTTGCACTGACAGGACTCTGGGTCAGCAGGAGATCCTGGAGTCTTCCAGAGCTAGTCCTTGCATGGATGGGGGCAACCACAGTTGCTTCCCTCATGGTGCTTTCTGCTTTGTGTTGTAGCAAGATGCACACAGTGCCTTTAGAGCTGTGCAAGGCATCAGTGCCTTCTGTTCTCGGAGAATTCCAGAAGACTTACAAGCTTGATAACGAGTTTTAAGAAGTTGGAATTTGTTTAAATTTCATGGGCAAAGGTCTAAATATTGCGTAATGGAAGTGTGACACGCAAGCTAGGAAAGTCCCGTTCATAAATCCTGGTTCTTTTCCCCATTCCACCTTTTCTGAGGTATTTTCATCCAGTCAACCTTCTTCAGCCTCCACTGCTTTGAAAGTTATGGTCCTTCCTGCCCTCAGATATTTTCCTTCATGTATTTGAGTTCTTGCACTGCCTGCCCATGGTGCTTCTATAACCTATCTGCCCTGTACTTTCAAGCCTTGACTTCGATTTACAGCTCTGTTTTTCTAAGCTGCCTGCTGAAACCTTTAGATGATTAACTCTTTGTAAACCATTACTCAATTCTAAAGTGCCTTTGTGTGAGCACTGCTGCCCTCTGATCCCTGGACACTTGGCCAGCCCTTGGACTGCTTGATGTGCTGTCACGTCGTGGCAAAGCCCAGCACTTGCTGCTGCCTGACGATAGTTGTTTTGGGGACGCTGTGTTTCAAACTGTTTGCAAACACGCTCTGTATTTGCTACATTTTAATTCAGACAATTGTGGTGCAAAGCAAAAGCTAGCAGAGGGAAACTGCAGGAAATGGGACTGGAATGTAAAGAATGTAGGATGGAAAGACAAAATTATGCTTTAGACAGTCTTTGCTAAACTGCAGATAGGAATGGACAGAAAAATAGATTCATTTCAGTGTTGTTTGGATTTTGTGATAAGGAGGATTTTGTGTGTTACGGAAAGAAACAACCAGAGAAATTGCTTGTTCTAGTGTGAGCTGAAGGAGAAGAGGAACGAGCTGGCAGGTTAGTGTGTGCTTGAGACCATTCTAGTGACCGAGCTGCCTTGAACCCTCTGTGACCAAAGCCCTGGGACAGCGTGGGGCCAGCAGCTGCTGGGGAGGAGGGGAGGTCCTGGCGCTGGCCCTGGGGTTTGTCCCAGCGTACACTTCTTCAGACTTGGACTTCTTTCTCATTTTTACGGGTCTGACTCACTGTTGTTCCAGAGGATGCTGGACAGACATCACAGCAGTTGGGGTTTGCTTGCCTCTTGCCGTTCCAATGTACATACACCAAGAACTTCTGCAGCTGAAATGGAGCAGGCATAAATGTCAGCGATCAGCATATGTCAATAGGACAGCTTACTGTGAAGCTCTCTAATGAAAAAAAGCCCTATTTAAAAGATAAGCTGTGGCTGCAAAACATAAATTTGGCACTGAAACTTCAAGTGCAGACTCTGAAGCGCTGCAGCTTTTAATCAGATGCACTGTGGAAATAACAATAACGGCCAAGCAGCAAGTGTGCTAGGCAGCCCTGCTGTGCAGGTACGAGGTCAGTGAGGTGCGCCTCGCTCCTGGAGCTGCCGGCGGCTGAGCTCCCTTGGAAAATCTGCTCTTGTTCAAGCCAGATGCTTCCTGAAACTGCAGTCCCCACTGCTCCGTACCACCTGTGCGTGCAGAGCAGCCAGCTTGGCTTTGCGCTGCCCATCCCCATTGTCCAGGAACAATCCCAGCCCCGCGGAGCTGCTGGAGGCCACAGCAGCTGCAGCGCTGCCCAGTGTCCCCACAGTGGGTGGCATTGTTCTGCTGCCGCCGCCATGCAGAGGGCTGAGGCGGGCAGCAAGGACGGCAGTGGGGGGGGAGTGCGGCCTAGTAATGGAGTGGCGGAGGATTGCGTCCCATGGTGAAAGCTTGGTGAGATGCTGCGCTCAAAATCATGGAGTGAGCACAGACCTTTGAGGAGCTCCGTGTGGACTGCAGTTCAGATTTTTGGGAAGATCTTCACAAGCAGCTGGGCCCAGTGTGCAGTGCAGCACCCTGTGTTGCATAACCTCTGCTGGAGCGAGGTGGGGGCACAGGTAGGGCACGGCACAGCCTGCTTCCCGCTGCTCCTTGCCTGCAGCGTGGTGCTGCTGGGCCCTGCCAGGGCCTGCACACCCACTGGCAACAGGAAGACTGGGGGCCTGCAGCCACACGCCTGGGGCAGCAGGAGGGTGTGCTGGGTTGGGGTGCAAGCAGGAAATGTGGCTGCTGCTGCCATGGCACGACTCGGCTGAACAGCCAGGGCCGCTGTGCTTCCTCTTCTGTGTGCAAGTCCACCAGTTAAGAAAAACAGAAACTTTGCTGTGCGGTGGGACTGAGGGGCTGCAGTCAGCCCTCAGGAAGGGTCAGGGCAGGAGACTGTGGTATGTGTTACACAGCTGGCAGGGGGACGAGATCAGCGGCCGGGCTGCCGTGAGCCCTGTTCCCGCGTATGTCAATGCACAGGGAAGAGGAGGGAAGTGAGAGACGTCCTCCCGGCCCTGCTGCTCCGCGGTGCACAAGCTCTGCGCGGGGAGCTGCGCCTGCCGTAGGCGGGGTGATATCGGAGGTACGGAGCATCGCTCTGGCGGGGAGGGCTCCGTGCGCGCCCGCCCTGTG